AATCGATCGAGAAAATGATCGGTGAATATAATTGGGAATATGACCGTGGTATTTGTCGGTGATGATGGAATGGTCTTATTCAAGTTGGGAGAGCGATACCCAACTCGCGTTGGCGCCTCGCGAAAAACTTTTCTCACGAAGAATGCCTGCGCGACTAATGCCTATAGCTGGATTTATTCGCAGCTTTGGCCACGTAAAACGGTGGGAAATACGTATATCCTACTTACTACGATAGTACAAATGTTTTCACGGTACCTAGCCACGGCTCCTTGGCTCACAATACACTCCGGAATCCTCCTTTATCTCGTTTCTTGTTATTTCGGCTAAAGAGGATATTTAAGTTACTTCGTTAAAAACTTTGGAATTACCTGACTGCCAATGTTTTCGGCGCAATATATAGGAAATGTTACCACCGAGATACTTGAATAAACTTGAGAGTTTCATTACATCAAAATGTAGGGAAATGTGCAAAGTGAACATTCATATATCGGCGTAAAAATAAATTTTCTTATAAATGAAAACTTACAATTCAACAAGTACACTACACTTTCTTGCTTAATATAATGCATTTTCGTATGTATATCTTTAGCTTTTTTACATGAAATTTTTTTTTAATATGAAATTTGCCTTTTTTTCGAGTAATTTAAATATCAGAGTGTTGAAGATTAAATAAAAGATTGTTAAATTTGAATCCAAAAGAAAATCTAATTTCTATAATGCAAAAAATATCAATAAATAACTCGAAGAATAAATGCATTTGTCAAATTTTAATAATAACAGATATATTTTTCGAGTGATTTAAATATCAGAATTGAAGATTAAATAAAAGATTGTTAAATTTGAATAAAAGAAAAACTTAATTTTTATAATACAAAAAATTTCAATAAATAACTCGAAGAATAAATGCATTTGTCATTTTTTAAATAATAACAGATATATACGCCAAGTTTTGCAACATAATAATTTTTTAAGAAAACATCTCTATTGAGATCTTTAATTTTAAATTGAATTAAATTCTAATATATTTTGTTTCGACTTGAAATAATTTTTAACAACAGTATATTTTCAAACACATTTTTCTTTCTCACATTATTTTAAGATATATCTCAATCTATGATAATAAATAAATAATGAATAAAATAAATTGAACAAAATCGATTTTTCTTGTAAGAAGCAGAAGACTAGCGTCTCCAAATAATATACATGACTGATATCTTAATTCATCGGAGACTCGTCCGATATCAGCTCACGCGTTTTAATTAAAACTTTCCGGCTTGAAAAGAAACTTTGATCGATCGCAAAAAGCGGATTACTTAATTCTGTAGAAAAACGAATATAAAGGAGAGACTCGTTCGTCCTGTCGGACGAATCTCTCCTTCCGTTTACTCCTGGATAAGCACGCTTGCCTGTTAACTATGCTTCCTTTTCTCGTGTCTCTTCCCGTTGTCCAACGTTCCGAAAGTTACCCTGACAGGATCCAGCCGGAATATTCGAATCAGTCCGCGAACAAAGGGGATGAAAAATTGCCACGAGAAGTTCTCGGTGGCGCCGCATTATGCCATGATGTCCCGAAGTCGAATTTATCCGCGGGTTAAAACGTAAAATCGGCCACCGCCGCAGGCTCGAAACTGGCGAAATCGTATTACTCGATGAATATGCAGTGCGATTTTGCGGTCGAAAGTTTTCAGCCGGGTTGTAACTCGCCGTGCTGTTTCTGCTTCCGTTCGGTGCCGGTCCTAAAACGGGGCGGTCGGGATTCTCGCGTAGAGACGTATTCTAATTAGAACAAAAAGCGGAATATATCACGCGACTGTTCCTAAATCACATCCGTACCCGAAATCCCGTTCGGTTCCTTAATTGGTTCCTTCGCCATCTCCCTGCCGGGCAAGAAATCATTTAGGATCCCGAAATTAATTAAGAATCACGTAGCGCGAGCGACGATTAACTTATATTAATTGTACGACCGAACTCGCGTGGATTAGTCAGCTCTTTGCGAAAAGAACGCCAGCGGCACTCGATTCATCTTTTGATTCGAGAGAGCGAGATCAAGCTGACGGAAGGATCTTTGATATTCGTAACGAAAGCACTCTCGTTACTTATACAAGGTATACGATAACGTTTACAAACACGTTTACAACATTTTCAGTCGACGAGATGTTCTCATCCTTTAATCAATTCTAACGTTGATAAAATTACATGTAATTTTATTTTAATATAAATAAAAGAGTAAGTTCTTTTATTATAAATTTGCCTTAAAGTATAAAACAAAAAGTATACTCTGCAATTTTTATTCGGATAATTCTTCATTATAAAATAATTATATTTTTTCTTTCGAACTCTATTTGCATCTATCTCTTGATATCAATACTGCAACATATAAATAAACATGAAAAATAACACATAAAAATATACAGTAGTGATATCTGTATATTTTTCTTTTGTTTGTTGTATTTATTTTTAACAGCATTTTTTAATAACTTTTTATTTGTATAGATAAATGTATTTTAACGTCTATGCAAAAATTCTAACACAACACTAACTAACGTATTTGCTTCGATAAACAAGAACGAAATTATTTATGCTCCATTTTATTCATACGATCTGTTATTTTTAGAAATTTAATTGAGCGGAATTAGATTTTAGGATTTGATGCATTCGGATAACGACACGTTCGAAGATAATTTGCCTCTCCGGGACATAATTCGATTTCTCTATCGTGCTAAATGTACCCTCGTTATCCAATTTCCCGATCGAGCTATCGCTTCGAATTACTATCTAATTCGTAACTAATAAAATATATCGTCATTTGCCAGTAAAAAGTTGATTTAAAATTTTTAAATATTCAAAAAATTAGGATACATTTCCAATATTCTCCGAACGTCATTTATCAAATTTATACCTTTCAATTGATACTTTTTTGATATTATTCTCTTATATATGTTTTAAAAATATATATATATTGGAACCATTGATAAACTTGCCAATCGTAGTAAGAGAGAAAATCCAGCGAGGAGTTGAGGTTGTTAGGAAAACGCATCAATGACAGAAAGTTTTTTATTGCGAATGTGCAACGCTTACCACGGCGGTTTTATCGAGGCATAACCGAAATTATTGAGAAAACTGGAATTTTCCGGTCGACCATGAGACGTCGTAAAGATATAACACACTACCAAGGTAGAAGCTGAATAGCTTGTTCAAGGATTTCTGCTTGGCAGTATGCAGCTGCAGCTCCTGTCGTAACCTACCTACCTATCTACCTTCTCTGCCATCTCTTTTCCTTGTTGTTTCGTTCAGTCTATGTCTCTCAACGCTGCCTCGAGGCTATAAGATGGTCGGTTTAAATAAGAGGACTGAGAACATCAAGTCACGGCAAGCAACATTTAGTTTTTTTTTTTTTTTTTTTTATAACCGAGTGGATAATAATGTCCTATAATTAGAATCATGGCTGTTTTTTCGCGACCTTTTGAAAAATTTCAATGCCCTATTTTTACTCGAAGAGCAAGGGAGGGAAGGAAGTGGGCAATCATTCTCCTCTTCCTCTGATTAATTTGCGAACTTTCGCACGATTTGTCGCGTGTCAGTACATTGCGCACATTTATTTTTATTGTGCACCAGAATGTAAAGTGCACATTTAGTTTTTTTCTGCTAATAATTCTCCTCTTTCCTAATAATATAATTCACAGTAATATAACAATATAATTCGAGAAAAAAATGTATAATTATATATATAAATATCTTCTATTTCTATTTTAATCGATCACCCTTAAAATTGTTAGTTTCTAATTTTAGAAGGAAATATTTCGGATAAAAGTTGCAAGGGAGACATAAAATGAATCGAATGAAATTTTCCTAGATAAAGACATTTCGCGGATTTAAAGGACAATTTAATTTTTTTAAATGGAATTATCCTAATTGCTTTATATGTGTATAAATAGATTCTTCATAATATCCCGCATAAAAAGTTATAAAAATAAAATAGCCAACAATTGAACGATTTACGAAATATTTTTATATTTTGCAATCTTTTTTACAGTCAATAATACAGTTGTTTTCTGTTATCTTTTTCTGGAGACGTTAGATTAAAATTTCATTTGTCTCGCATCCAATTGTGAATTTCAATTAAAATTCAATTAACCCAAGTGTTCTTGATCCTTTTTTAAATAAATTTTACTTTGTATAAAAATTGTAGCAAAGCGTTTCGGAGATTTATTTGCTACAGCTTCTTGTTTAAAGACAGAAGAAAGTATATATAAAACGAGAGAATATGACTTTGATGCGTATAATAAATAAAGCGAACTGAACGATGTAGAGCGAAGTTGAGAAATGCAAGTCCTCTTGTTAGAGGAGCGAATCATTATTCATCGATGCGTCTCAATCTAAAGAATAATAACACAATATATTACTCTCTCTCACAGTTTGGGCGATAATAATGCGTGCATCAGCGTGAAAAAAAATAAAAAGATCCATTACACTGTCATTATTATCACGAGTGCGTCGTCATCGGATTAAAATTCAACCACTCGCGCGGCCGGTATTCATTTATTCTCATTTCACCGAGATCGCGACAATTCAACAAGATTTAACGTCGCGTTATATTTAATTCTATCGCGTGCAGCTTACGCGATATAAATTATCCCTTAAAGTCGACTTTAACGTTAAACTTTCGGCTTTACATTTTTCGCACAGATCCGGCTCTAAATCTGCCGAACGAAGCGGTAACTCGTAAAATTAATGCGATTTCGCGGGAATTATTAAATCGAGACCAGACCCTTTTTTGCGCTAAAGCGCCGGAGAACAACAGCACTTCGGATCGATTCGATGCCCTCTCCCTTATTGAAAGCAACGAAGATTAAAGGATTTAAATCGCTACGATTTTCATATAAGAGTATTAATCTCCGGTTGACCTCTAATCGGATTTTGCTTTACAAATTCGCGATGTACGTGAACGCGAAGTCGACCCAAGTGTGATGGTAATGTTTGCTCGATCTTGCCTGTTTCAGAGATTGCAGTGGTCCAGCACCGATGCGCACCAGCAGCTTTGCAACTTGAAGGGCCGCGACCCCGACGAATGCCAGAACTACGTAAGGGTATTCGGCAGACAGGGCCCCGATCACTTTCTCGTTTGCGGCACGAATGCCTACAAGCCGCTCTGCAGACAGTTCACGATCAAGGTAAGCCGTTAAGCCCGAAAGCACACGGGGTGTCCGTTAATTTTGCGTCTACACTTTGAAAGATAAATCTAGGGCATAAAGCAGGGAAGCAGGGAAACAGCGCATATTATATTTAAATAAATTCGTTACAGTCGTATTTTTTTTTTGTTTAGATTTTGTGATAGCCATTGAAAATTGCGCAAGCTTAAAACAGAAACGGAAAAAAGGTCACTAATTTTCCAGCTTTTGCAAATTTCCCTTTGCTAGGAAATAATGTTTTGCATAAAAAAATTTGTTTTATATAATTAATTTATATATTTTTTCTCCAGTTGTACCGATAAAGATAAAGTTGTTAAGAGATTGACCAAATATTTTATATAATTTCTCTCTCACATATTAATATGTGAGTGTAACTTTTTATAGATAAATTTGCATGTGGAAATAAAATGGTCAGATTTAAATTCTTTGTACTTTTTATCCACAAGTTTATATAAAACTTGACAGTTTACATTTATAGATAACATTGCTACAATTCATACTCCAAAAATTGAAGATTAAATAATATCAAGCAAAAAATTAATAATTATATACATTAATACATTTACAAAAAGATTCGTATTTATATTTGAGATAATTCCGAAGACTTTTTAATGTAAAGCTAAATGCAATGTATAATTGTAGCAAATAGAACATTAAAATTATTCCAACTTCCTCAGTTACCTTTTCATGAATTGATATTTGAAGTTACGCTTACATATTGAAAATATTCTCTCGCATATTATATACGAGTACATATTTGTACAATATTTTTTATTAAATGTATGTATGAGCTTTATTTTTCATAAAATTAAAAAAAAAATGCTTAAGAGTGTCCACAGATATTTGTGCATCAAATATTCGCTTCATTAGTGGTAAAACATTTTCTTCCATTCGTTATAAGTACAAAAAGAGATGATCGAGTGTGAATAAAAGAAATCGGATGTTGATGTAAAAAGGAATCGGATATTTCACACTCTTGTAGATTTACCGTTTGAAATATTGACAATCCAATTAAAATCTCTTATACTTTCGATACTTTTCAACCTGTCAGTGAATCGCGTATCGGGAAAAAAAGCAAGGAAATTCGCAGAGCGTGTAACATATCATATATAAAATCAAGCGGTTGGTTAGCGCGTGAAAGAAACGAACGCGATTGACTTTCGACAGACAATTTTCTCTCCGAGGGATTCGAGGGAAAATATACCGGAACTTAATCGTGCAATTGGTAAACCACATTTAACCCTTCGTGTTTGTGCAATATGCACGAGAATGAGATGCCGCGGGGTTACCGCAATGGCATCGTTATATCCGTAACGGTATTGCTAACATTTCCTGAAAGTTTCATGCAATTCCGGCGCACGGCTTTCAAATTATATAACGCTTTCATCGTGCATACGTGTCGGGCCCAAACCTTTATATCGAGTTACAAAACATCGTAAAGTGGTTGTAACTAATGGTTGTGTTTCATGAAATACTTCATTTCACAATCACGGTTAAACTCGATAGGCACATTGTGAGATGTGCGATTAAGCAGTAATCTACAATATTAATCTTTGTGGTTTCTAAGAGATTGTAGCGTGTGCGGAGAATGTAAAAAGGTATTTTAACATTAGCGATTGTGTTAATTTCGAAAGCGCATTTTTCCGTTTTCATTCAGTTTAGCATAAAGCTGTAATTGAAATATTCCGTGTAAAATGATTTAAGGGGAGTTTTGAAGAATTGAAAAACTTGAGAGAATTAATTTAGATTGAATTGAATTTTTCTAAATTTTTAGAAAAGAAAGGACCATGTAAAAATAATTATACAAAACGACAAACAAAGGTCTTATAATTATATATAATGTATATTTTGTGCATATTTTTGCATAAAAGAAATATTCGCATTTTAAGAAGAAAATATTTTAAGAGGACGAGAAAAAAATAATAACATGGTTGGGAAATTACTAAAAGGAAAAAGAGGTGCCGTGAAAAGGGAAAATTCGCTACTTTAATAATTTTCTCCCTTGTTCTCAAGTATCTCACAATTATTCGCGTTGGCAGTGATTTATAATCTTTAAGCTTCTTTTTGTTTCATCTTTATTCCTATTCACGTCGTTGATTCATTAATAATTTGAATTCGCTTTTTACCAAGGTACACAGCTTCTGTGCCAACACCTCTTCTAACAATTTGCAATAATGTTTAAATATGCTAGCCATTTTAAAGCAGAATTTTTTTCTCTTTTGCAAAAATATCGTTCCGCAATTTTTTCGCGTGTCCTATCAATGCTGAGATTGTCTTCTTAATTTTTTGCTTTAAAATGTTTTAAATTGCACCGCTAAAATTTTAGACCGATTCAACCATTTTTCATCGATTGCATATGCATATAAATAAATCACATTACCTAACGTATGTATATCTACTATAGCCAATTAAGATCTGCGATCGTTTTTATTCTTTTATTATCCTCGTATCTATTCGACTTGAGAGAATTTCTGTAGCCGTTAGTAACTGTACTTCGTTACGTAAACGAGATCGAGAGAAAAGAAAAATTGACAGCGAGTTTTGCATAGACCGGTGTTCTTCCGGTCGACGTAAGTAGAGTTCACGGATAAAATAAGTTCTTTACGCGGCACTTTGAAGGCGACACCATGCATGTAGAGAGCGTGTAGGGCAAGACGTCGCGGCGCCTGGCGTCTTAATAATGGCACGTCGAGGGGAAACGCGTCGTCATGGCGTCCAACGGGGTAGGTGGACACACAGAGGCAAAAGGAAAAAGGGAGAGAGAGACACGTGATTTATCTGGTCGTATATCTTTTTTCCTCCTTTCTCTCCCTTTTTCTTCCGATCTTAAACAGATGACGGGGTTGCTGCTGTCTGTGCAGCAGGTACACGTAGATCCAGTCACTGACAAAAGCAACCGAGATAAGAGCATATTTCTGTATACGGTTGTGTTTATCTGCGCTTAAATCGCGAATTATGGCATTATAAAGGCTAAACGGGAGAGAGAAAGTATTGATAAATTAATTTGATTAAAAATTTGAAATTAATAATATATATTTAATTATAATTCAAATTATAATTATAATTAAATATATTATTAATTTTAATTATTATTAATAAGAATAATTATTAATTATAATTTTAAATTATTTTATTATTAACAGCAATTTTATTACTAATAATTTGTTATTTATATAAAAGAGTGATGAAGAAAATAATTGAGCGAGACATCTCAATATGCTGGAATTACATAATTTTCTGGGAAAATTGCAAGCTCCTATATCTGCTCTTGATTATTATGATTATCTAGTTCTCAGATCGAGATAACGAGCCATCTCCAAGAGAGAAAGAGAAATAAAATTCAAAATTAAACGTTGAATCTAAAACGTGATTGCGGAAATTTGTAGAATCGGAAACTCGGAGCGGTCGTACATGTAATATGAATAGCAGCGACGTAGAGTGGTATGGGATCTGAATGTTGTCGAGATCCTTTGGAATATAATCTTCGGTAGAGCTAAGTTTTCGAGAAGGCGTATCGATAGAGTCGTCTTGGAAGTAACCGGCGTCGTCTCTCCTTGGGACATCGCGATACCTTATCATTCAGCTTCCGGACCGAGGTGGAATTTATTTACCGTCTTCCGTAATTCCTCTTCGATCCGCGATGGAAAAGCGATGTGGGGAAAACCCTTGCTTCTCACGCGATATCTAATTCCCGCGTCCACGAAAGCCGGCAATTTTACTTTCGTATTATGCGCCATTAAAAACTCATCCGCCGCAACCGCGTGCACGCGGTGGCGAATAAATCATACGCAAAGTAGGTCTGCTTTTCACCGGAAGTTTTCAGTAAACACGCAAGACTTGCGTCACGAGAGAATCTCCGGGAAAAAAAGGAGCCGAATAAAAAGCTCGCCGAAATAAATTTTACCGCAGGTTCGACGATGCAAGATCGCGCTGTTTACTATTGCAACGATCAATACGACGTGGAATAAAAAAAATAGCGCGAGATGGAGGAGGATTTCGCTGATTCTCCGCTGAATTTTTTGTCGCTATTGAGCGAATCACTTATGCGAAATGAATACTCTTTTTATTTTATCATTTTGTTTAAATTTATCGAAGCAATTAATTCGCATGCAATAGAAATAAATATGTAGTAATGGAATGGGATCACAATGCGTTTTCAAAAATTTATAACTATACATTTATAGCTATACAATCCAGAATTGTAGATTTAAATTTAAATTGTATGTACAGTGATATTGTACGGATTGCGAAATTAAATTATCGACGCACAGCTCAAATATTTCGAAATTTTTAAAGTCCTACAAATAGATATTTTTAGGTTCTATTAAAATATATGGTACATTTCGAATGTAATATCGTGTGAGCTGTAATTTTAAAAACACTTTTAGAAAAATATTTTGTACTGTAGGAAATAACATTGTATATTACCAATTAAGCTGAAAAGTGGAACTTTTAATTAATAGATTAAGTGTCGCTTAAAAATCCGACTGTAATCAGTTATTTACAGTGTTTTTTTATATTACAAATTAATCTTTTTATTATAATTATAATCAGTCGCTATAATCAACAATTGACCTAATAACAATGATATAATAAATAAAACTTTTTTATGCTTAATTTTGCAGTTGAATATTGTGTGATTTATTTAATTAAATAGTTAAATAAAATTATTGAGAAATGTACGTTTTTATAAACGTACATATATGTGCAAAAATGTTATGAAGTTTATGAATCCAGAAAATCATAAAAGTTGGGAAAACAACTAATTAATCGCGGTTAGTTTTTTCATTCAGCGAACCAATAAAATTTATTACAAAATAAAAATTGTAAATAATATGTCGATCGATTGGATTGTGTATATTTCTGATTGTAGAGAACTGTAATTTCGACGTTTAAATATAAATAAAAAAAGTAACAAACGAGAGTGGAAACATGTTTTACATGCTTCAGTTGCAGCTGAGATCATGAATTATATTCTTCCT